CTGCAGCAGCAGCTCACCAAGGCAGCCCTGTGGCCACAGCTCCAGGACACCTGCTGCCACCACAACAATGTTCAGAGCTGGACTGGATCCCCACGGCCTCGCACCCAACCCCAAGGTGTGGGGCAGGAGAGACAGGCTGCTCCAGATCTTCTGTGGGAGCTGCTGCCACCTCCCCCTCCAGAGCTGTTCTGGGAGCAAAGGGCAGACCCTGCTCCATGGCCTGAGTTCAGTCCCAGCCCATCCCAGTCCCTCCATTGCCCACCATGCCACAGGGCCAGATCTCCCCCAGGTGCTCCAGAGGCACCCGCAGTCCCTGGGGTGCATGGGGTGGGATGGAGGACTTGGTTTTGCCAGGGAAAGGCTGCCCAGTGCTGCCCACAGCAGGCAGTGCAGAGGGCATGGCCCGGGCTTGCTAGATGCCAACATCCAGGTTGAGGAAGGAGACGTTGCTGTACAGCTCTGAGGTGACCACGCTGCTCTCCAGGCCGTGGGGCTGCCCGGGCCGTGGGGCTGGAACCTGCTGCTCCCTGGGATCCTCCTGCTCCGTGCTCCTGAGGGAGTGAAAACGAGAGGTGCTGTTTGACAGCTGCTCTTATTGCCCACTCCACGCCCAAATGGCCTCCAGCAGTGAGCCCAAGTATCTGCCACCTCCTCGGTCAGTCCCAAAGGGACCGTGAGGGCAGACAAGGAAGGACAGCAGAGAAGACCTGTGATGTCTGTGCTGCAGGAACCCATTTTGCACAGGACAGTCCCTCTTTGCCAAAGGAGTCACCAGCCCTACAAGGTGACCACAGGCTGCTGAGAGTGCCCTGCTTCAGCCCAGGCAGCAGAACACCTCCTGGGCTCTGTGCCATCCTCTTGGGCCCAGATCCTGGGACATGAGGCCCCTTCTCCCCATCTTTAATCACAGGGCAGGGCATGAACTCAGACTTGGAGCCTCTGCGGGACTAAACAACCTCGCAGCCAAAAAGCAGCTGCACGGCCAGGCTGGCAGGAGGGACACGTGTGCACACACAGGACAGGCCAAACCCACCCAGGACACAGAGAAGACGAGGGGATCAGGAGAGAAGCCAGGACTCACGGCAGGGCCTGGAACCTCCTGCGCAGCAGGTACTCGATGGCATCGGGGTCTGTCTGGAACAGCCTCCGCAGGATGTCACGTTGCATGTCTGGGGAGACCTGGGAGGGACACACAGAGAACACACTTGCTCATGGCAGCTCCTCTCCTCCAGAGGAAGATGAGCAGAGGCAGCCAAGGACAGCAAAAGGGACTCCAGGTCACTTCCTTGATGAATATACCCTTGCCATGAGGACTGAATCGCATTTTCACACCGACTCAAGTCACCTGCTGCTCAGCCCAGCTGTGAGCACGTCCCTCCTGCTGCTGCCATCAGAAGAGCCCAGAGGGGAAGGCAAGGTGTGGAGGAGCTGTCTTGAGAAAGCCTCACCTACCATGAACAGGGTGTGGTGGTGCTCAATCAGCCTCTGCAGCACCAGGATGATGGCAGCACTGTCTTCTAAGCTCACAGCACCAGCATCTTTCTCCCCAGGCTTCTCTTTCTGCAGGATGTTGGGACCAAAGATTGTGGCCAAGTTTGAAACTGTCATTTTATTCCCAGGAATCTAGCAAACAAGTGCAAGAGAAAACTGCAGGTTATGAATGCACCAGCATGAGATGTCCCAGGACAGCCTCACCCAGGACAGGACAGGAACACAAGCTGCTGAGTGGGGCCAGGGTGTTGATCTGGGTCCAGTTTGGTTCCCTTCAAGCTGGTGGCAGGGCCAGCATGAAGGGCTTGTGTTACTGAAGCACACACTCACCCCTCCTTGCATCAGGGCCTTCATCCCCATCTACCTCATTTGCACAACCCAACCAGGAGGTACCAACCAGTACTTAGAACCACAGAATCCCAGACTGGTTTGGGTTGGAAGGGACATTAAAGATTATCTAGTCCCAAACCCCTGCATGGGCAGGGACACCTCCCACCAGCCCAGGCTGCTCCAAGCCCCATCCAACCTGCCCTTCAGCACTGCCAGGGATGGGGCAGCCACAGCTTCCCTGGGCACCCTGGGCCAGGCTCTCACCACCCTCAGAGTTAAGAATATCTTCCTTGTGTCTAACTTAAATCCCCCCTCTTCCAGTTTGAAAACGTTTCCTCTTGTCCTCTCCCTCCCTGCCCTTGTCCCAAGTCCCTCCCCAGCTTTCCTGGAGCCCCTTCAGGCACTGGAAGCTGCTCTAAGGTCTCCCTGGAGCCTTTTCTTCTCCAGGCTGAACAATTCTCTCAGCCTGCCTCCAGAGCAGAGAGGCTCCAAGTCTCTATCCCCTCACTTCTATACCACACACTTCTGTGCTGTGCAGGATGCTCCCATCTCCCTGCAATGTGAGACAAACAGGGACTCAGAGCTTGAATTGTCCAGAGAAACCAACATCATCCTCGATAAGTTCTGCGTGGAAGTTGGAGACGGGCAGAATGACCCCACCCAACAAAGCCCCTCGTGCACCCCCTGGCACAGCCGGGGCTCCCGGGGGCTCCCGCAGCGCAGACCTGCCGGGATGAGGGGCCTGAGCAACGAATTGGCTGCTGCCCAAGGATTCCCCGGGGCTGGCAGGAGGCTCGGGGGGATGGTGGCCCAGGAGGCCGGGCAGCCCCTCCCCGTGCCCCGCTCACCTCCCCGCCGTCGGGGCCGCGGGAGCTCCGGGCGTGCCGGGCCACCCGGGCCAGGAAGCGCAGGAGCCGCAGGAGGGTATCGCTGTGGCCGGGGGGCAGCAGGAACAGCAGCAGCTGCAGCGCGGCCAGCTGGGCTGGCAGGGCCATGGCTAGGAGAGAGCAGCCCTGGTTACTGCCCTGCCCTCCTCTGCAGCCACCCTGGTGAGCTCTGCAGGCAGCCGGGCGGGCAGGGAATCGCTCAGCTTGGGCAAGAGCTCTGAGGCCATCGAGCCCAACCATCAGCCCAACCCCACCGTGCCCACCAAACCGTGTCCTCAACTGCCACATCCACCTGCTGTTTGCACCCCTTCAGGGATGGGGGCTCCAGCCCTGCCCTGGGCAGCCTGGGCCAGGGCCTGACAACCCCTTCAGTGAAGAAATTGTTCCCAATATTGAATCTGAACCTCCCCTGGCACAACTTGAGGCCATTTCCTCTTTTCCTATCAGTAATTACTTCGGAGAAGAGACCAACACCCACCTCACTCCGACCTCCTCTCAGGCACTTGCAGTGAATGATGCCTCCCCTCAACCTCCCCTTCTCCAGGCTGAACACCCCCAGTTCCCTCAGCTGCCTGTAAGACTTGTGCTCCAGCCCCTTCCCCAGCCCTGTCACCCTTCAGCCCATCCCTGCAGGGATAAGCATCATCCCCCCTGTGCTTCTGTAAGGACAAAGAGGGGATTTTCTCCCTGTGCAGCACTGGTCCCAGGCACTCACAGGCTGTGCTCAGGAAGGCTGTGTAGAGCTCCCTGGGAATCAGGGAATCGGGCATGTCCCGAAGAAACTCTTTGAGCAGAGCAGCCACGTCGTGAACACTTTGATGCTCATCCAGGACAACATCCAGCCCTTGGTCAAAATCTTCCCGCAGCTTAAACATGGAAGGAGGGAGAAGAATAGAAGCAAGAGTCAGTTCTTCCTCTCCAGCAAGTGTCTGTGACGTTTTAGACCTCCCCATGTCTGCTGTGGTGACTCCCCACCCACACAAGCATCTGTCTGTTGGAGGCTGGCCTGCTGCAGAGGGCACACAACATCTTGCTGAACTCTTTTCTTGGAGCTCCCCACCCGGAAGATGCCCACGGTTTGGAGGCCTGGGAGACAGAGGAGTTAGTGCTCTGTATTCCCACAGCCCCCCCAGCCCAGCTGGTCCTTGGAGCCCCCAGCACCAGGGGGGTGGTTCTCCTGCCCTGCCCGCCGGGCAGTGACACACCGATACACACAGTGACACTCCCATCTCAGCCCAGATGCTGCACCTAGTCCAGAGGACTCTTCCCCAGAAGCTTTTCAGGAGAGTGCCCAGCCCCAGGAGCCCAGGAACCAGCTGCTGCTCCACGGAGGATGGGTCTCACCCCCCCGTGCCCCCCAGCCAGGGAGTCCCGCGCAGTTACCGTAGGTCTCGATGTGTTTGCAACATCTGTCCACGATCCGTGGGACCTGCCAGGCAATGGGGTTGAGGCTCAACATCTTTTTCTTGCCCAGGCTTCTCCGCGGATCCAGCTCGTGGGGGTGGGACAACTGCAGTGCTTCCAGCAGCTTGGAAGTGTTGTCGCTCAGGTCAGTGATGGAATCCACAGACATCGCCCCCTGTGATGGAGCAGGGGTGATGCCCAGGGTGGCAGGAACCACCCCACCCAGTACCCCATCACTGCTGGGACCCCAGAAGTTGGTGGGAAAGGGAGGCATCAGCTCCCAACCAACACCGAGATCTACAGAGCCTGTCTGGTGTTGCACCAGAAGCAGAGAGACCTTTCCTGTCTCCTGTGTGTTGGCTGGTGTGAGCTGCTCCTGGTGCAAGCTGCTTCTGAACACAGACACGGGGAAAGAGGGAACCCCCCCTAGACCTCCAGGTGATGGAGGAGAAGAAAAATCGGTGCCCCTGGTGACAAATCCCCTCCTACCCCTACGACCTCGGGCTGCCTGACCATGTCCTTCTGGCAACCTCAGCTTCCTAGAGCTAAGCCCGTAAAGCCTGTCCCAGCCCTGCCAGCCCAGCCCTGGGGGCCGCAGGGCCACCCCACCCCTGCGGGCAGAGCGGGACAGAGCCCCGCGCCAGTCCCCGCCTTCATCAAGGAAATCCCGGTAAGCCGCGTCCCGTCCTGCCCCGCACGGCCCGTCCTGCCCCGCACCGCC